GCCCACAGATCGCCGTAGTACGATTTGGCGATGGAATTGAATGATCTGTGAAGTACAGGCCAATGAAACTATTTTAAGAAATGCCAGCAGGAGCTGAGCCTCTTCCCCTGTTGTCTCCCCTCAGCCCGGCCCTTTGCACACCCCATGACGAGCGAGGCCTCGCTTTGCCTCCTTGGGCCGCCCTCTCAGATAGCTCTTGGCCTTCATCATTTCTTCCTTGCGTGTTGGCTCCATTAGGTTCAGGAGCAAGTTTCAGAGTCTCTGCTGACCACCCACGCCAGCCTTCCCATGACCTGCTGGCTTCGCCAGGTCTGACTTCCTGTCCTGGATGCCAGCTCACAAGGTTTCCCGTCTTTTAATGACATGTGTCATCGTAAGACAGAGAGAGTAGATAGAGGAGTGACAGGCAGACAGGTGATCGGTAGAGACCCAGACAGACAGACGGATAAAGGCATGCAGAGTCGGGTGAGGCAGGGCTGTCACACAGAAAACCCCAGAGCTGGTGACAAGGCTCCAACGGCTCAGGGAGTCTGGCAAGGCTGCAGGACACAAGCCAATTGTTGGGATTGCTGTGTTTTTTCAGATGAGCACAGGAATGGCAGCCGAGAGCTGCTGTCAGGCAGAAGGGGGGTGGGGGGAGACCCACAGGCCAAGGAGGGAATTCCTGAGCCTGTCCCGGAAGCTCGTTTGCAGCGGCTGTCAGTGGACTCTGACTCACGGCGACTGTGTCTGTGTACGAGGGGCTCTGTGCTCCCCAGCATTCCCAGAGACTGAATTCCTGAAAGCATCCTCCCAAGCCCTTTTCTGAGGCATTTGGGCATAGGCTCAAACCTCCAACCTTCCGGTTGGTGCTCTCAGACATACAGGCATCTGCATACCCTGGGGCTCCAAGGTCAGAGGGGGACCCACCGCTGGCTCATGAAGACAGCAGAGGCTGCTCCGGGAGGCGTTCTCAGTGCAGCACTAGAAACACGTCCCCCGGCCCCGTGGGCTTCATCCGGTTATACACGTTTCCCCACAAAGAGCAGGGGGAGTGGGAAGGAGAAGCTACAGACTGGAAGCACCTGTTTGCAAAGCACATCTCTGACAAATGACCTGTACCCCAGAGACAGAATTCTCAAACTCTACAGTAAGAAAACCAACCACCCAATAACAAAAACAGGCAAAAGGCATGATGAACAGACACTTCACCAAAAACATAGGTGGCAAGAGTCAATACCATCAATCAAGGCAAAACCAGAAAGAAAGGAAGAAAGAAGGAAAGAAAACAGCTCACTGCCATCGAGTCAGTGCTGACTCGTAATGACCCTACAGGACAGTGGACCTGCCCCTGTGGTTTTCCAAGACTGCAATGTTTCACAGGAGTAGAAAGTCTCATCATCTTCCTCCCTCAGAGCTGCTTGTGGTTTTGAACTGCAGACCTTAGGGTTAGCAGCCCAGTGTGTAACCACTACAAAACACTCCTAGACATTTACCCTAGTGAAGTAAAAACCTAAGTTCACACACACACACAATCTATATTTGTAGATTTTTTTGTAACTGCACACCCCACACCCAAAATTTGGAAAGAACCCAAATGCCAAAGCGCAGGAACTCAAGGCAGACATGTAAATGCGTCATCTTGAGGTGGTCACACTTGAAGGCATAGAAGTCCCTTCACGGAACATTCTAGAAAATGCAAGGTGACCACGATGGAAAACACAGGGGCGAAGGGGAGTGCCAGGGCTGCCCTGGAAGGGCGGGAGAGAATCTGAGTGGGGCAGTGGAAGGGGAAGAGCCAGGGGGCATCCTGTGGGCCAGGAATTGTGTTGCTAAGCTCAGAGTTAACGCTTCAAACCCACCAGCCGCTCTTTGATGGGGAGACAAGGCTGTCCGCCGTGGCAGAGTGACCATCTTGGAAACCCAAGGGGGCAGTGAGCTCCACGCTGTCCAATGGGGCCTTATGAGTTGAATGGACTCAGTAGCATGCGCTTGTCTTGTTTTTTCGGGGGTGATAATTACACAACTCTATGCATTTGTCAAAATCCTTAAGAGTGTACACCAAAAAATTAACTAAGTCAGTGAATTGTACCGTAGTTAATTCAAATTAGCCATTTTATTGGGGGAGGGGTGGTTTTACACACTCCAATGTGGAGCTCAGCTGAGACTCCAGGCAGTTCCCCATCTGGCAAGAGGGTGGGGTGGGGGGCAAAAGCCAGGCGCAGACCTGCACGGATAGCCTCAGGTCCAGGGACAGAGAGGACACGGCACCACATTTGACACGCACAGAATTCCTCTGTGAATCATCAGAGGGCAAGGGCCACAGGCTCCCTTGGGGAGGGGGTAGGAGCAGCTCAGCTTTCACGTTCTGTGCTTTAATCAAAGAAGCAGTGTTAAAGCTCTCAGCTGATAGTCGAAAGGTGGGAGGTTCAGACCCAGTGGCTCCACTGGAGAAAGATGAGGCTGTAAAGATTTAGACCCTTGGTACCTCTGGTTCCTTGAGGCCTCCTCACCCCCCACTATCATGACCCCAGTGCCGCTTCCCACTCTGGACCGGACCGGAGCATGTACACAGGTATAGGCAAGAGATAAAGCTCACGACACATGGAACCCAGAAACAGGAATGGGAACAGCGGTACCAAAAGGGTAGAGGAAAGGAGGGAGGGAAGAGGAGGAAGGGGGAACCGATCGCAATGAACGGCACATAACCACACACTCCCCTCCAGGGGGAAGAGCAACAGAAACCAGAGGGGAAGGGTGACAGCAGTCAGTGTGCAATATGAAAATAATAACAATCTATAATCTATCAAGGGGCCACGAGAGGCGGGGGGTTGGAGGGGGGGGGAAAGGAGACAATCCCAAGGGTTCAATAGAAATTAAATGTCTAGAAAAGAATGATGGCAATAGATGTGCAAATATGTCATACAATTGATGTATGGCTTGTAACAGGAGTTGCAATAACCCCCAATAAAATTATCTGGGGAAAAAAAAAGATTTAGATCCTTGGAAACTCGTACCAAAAAAAACCCAAAAACCAAACTCCCTGCCATCAAGTTGATGACTATGACAACAACCCTATGGGACAGGGCGGAGCTGCCCTGCGGGTTTCTGAGACTGTAACTCGACAGGAGTAGAAAGCCTCATCTTTTTCCCACGGAGTGGCTGGTGGGTTCGAACTGCTGACCTTGCTGTCAGCAGCCCAATGCGTAACCACTACACCTGCCACCAGAGGTCCCTTTGGAGACCCCATGGGGCAGATCCACGCTGTCCTCCAGGTCTCTCTGAGTCAGACGGACCCATGGCTGTGGGTGTGGGTGTGGGGTGTGGGGCTTGGCCCTCTCATAGTTTGAGGGGTTTTGTGCTGTGTGCACGCATTCCTTTTTCTGCTGTTAAGCGGTGGGGGACACACCCCAGCACTCATGTTCTATTTGTGTCCTTGCTGTTCCCGTTATGAAGGAGGAGACCAGCTCCTCCTGCGTTGATCTCACAAGTTACCAGAGCACCTGCTGCCTCCTGTGACAGCCCCCCTTCTGTAAATCCTCCCTCCGCTGGCTTCTGAGCCCCTTGGCCTCAGTCTTGGGGTACCCCCCACTACTGAGCTTTCCAGCCCCAGCTGTTGTTCTCAGGTCCCTTGATCTGCCGCCTAAATCTCTCCCTGAAGCTCCCAGTTCACCACCTGCCTGCTCCCTCAGGCTCCTCCCGCCCAGTCTACCCAAGCCTGCTCCTTGGCAGTCACTGCCCACTGAAGGCCCCAGACCATCACCCTGAGGTACACCCCTCCTGACACACACACGTGCACATGCGCGCACACACACACATGCACACTCACACACATGCATACATACACACGGATACACACATCCAAATTCATTCACACATATACACATACACATGGACACACATACACATCCATTGTATATGTGTCTACACATATACACACGAACACACATATCCAAATCCATACACATGCACACTCACACACATACACACCCATGCTCACATACACATTCATACACACACAGTGGCAACTAGGTGGGTGCTACTACTCTCAACCCCACAGCGGCTGGCTAGTGCGGACTGGGAGCTGCCAGGTAAGGCAGGGTAGAGCTGCCCTGGGCTTCCTGAGACGGCAGCTCCTTGCAGATCTCAGGGCAACGTGCAAGCGCTGCCACAGCCATCTCCCATTAGCGCTCCGAGGGGCTGGCCGAGCTGGTTCACCACCTTCCCTTCCTGTCCCCATGAGAGAGAGGACAGGGACAGTCAAGTGAGGAGCCATGGAGAGGATACTGGAGCCCCGGGGAAAGTGAGAATGGGAGTAGCAGGGAGGGAGGGAGGGGACCCGGGAGGGGGACCCCAAGAAGCTGACGCTTCAGCAGCTGCTTCAGCCACAAGGAGACCCAGAGCAGGAGGCCAGGGGTCTCAGTCACAGAGGTGTGTGTGTGTGTGTGTGTGTGTGTGTGTGTCTGCATGCATGCGTGCATGCGTGTGGTGCAAGGGCGGGGACCTCACAAAAGGAGTAGAGCTGGCACTCCCTTGCTCACTCATGCACACTCATCTCATGCGTGTGCAGAGAGTTGAGGCGGGCACATATCCACCCCTACCCCTGGCAGAGCCTCTGATGCAGTTTACCATATGCTTCCCCCTCCCAGCTTAGCAAGTAAAGCCTTTACCCCAAACCAAACGCCAATGGTGTCCCTAACTGGGCCTGGTTTCTGCCTCCATATCCTGGGAGTCCTGGGGGGGTGGGGAGGGTGGGGGGCTGGCCCTAAAACCCTGGAACACCTTCAACTCTGAAGATGGTGGCCCGGAGTCACCTAGGAAAAGAAGGGGCTGTGTCCCATATGGACCCCATACACCGAGTTGGCCAGGTCAGCCCCGAGTTCACGCCTGGTCTCCCCTGGCTGCTGGGGCGTCACTCGTGGCATGACTACTTCGTTTCAGGGCGCGGGGGGTGGGGGTGGGGGTGGGGGGGTAAGTAAGACTTCCCAGGGCACCTGAGAGGGGAGCAAGCAGCAACTGACCTTCTCCAGCTTCTCGAAGTGCTCGCGCAGGAACTTCATGGGGCGGTCGGGCTGGGCGACGCACAGGTGCACGATGCACTCTCGGAGCACCTGCTGGATGCCATGCCTGTGCACGTACAGCTCGCAGCCCTTCAGGCTCTCGTCGTCCTCAGACAGCCAGGGGGAGGTCATGGTCAGCAGGCCCTTGACCTTCCTGTTCCGGGAGACAGGAAGAAGGAGGGCGCTGAGGCTGGAGGGCCCACTGGGCTGGGGCGGCCAGCACCCTGCATCGCACAGGCATACATGATACAAACACGACAGGGCTTGCTTCAGATAGCTGGGACGCATGGAGTTCAAGGGCAGTGGAATCCGTCCACAAGCTTTGCGGAAGCCCCTTCCCCGTGTAATTGGAGACGGCCGACCTCGGCCCAGCCAGACAGGGCCGGGGTGCAGCATGCCAAGAAGCCCTGGTGCGTGGCTGTCTTGAAAGCGTGCGTCTTTCCCACCCAAACCCACTGCCATAGAGTTGATGCCCACTCGCAATGATCCTGGAAGCGTTCACGGGGTAGGAAGCCCCATCTTTCTCCTGAGTAGCAGCTAGTGGTTTCCAACTGCTGACCTTGGCGCAACCGTAACCGCTATGCCACCAGGGCTCCTGGATGGACCTTTAGGTAGGTCTTAAAACCCACACCCAAGCCAGTGACCTGAGGGGTCAGTTTGGAGCCAGGGCCAGTGAGGGGGCGGGGGAGGGGGGGTCACCGCAGGACCCCCTCGGGGTTCCCTATGGGACTTGGCCATGGGCCAGGCTGGCAACCCTTTCCTCTGAGGGTCCTGGGAGGGTTTGAACTGCCCACCTCCCGGTCAGGTCCTCTCAGGTCTCCTTAGCTCCAGCAGGTCCGTGCAGAAATGCAGGAGATTCCAACGCGTTCCCAGGTGAGGATTTGGGAGTGTGGTTTGGAGGCCCCCGGGGGCAGGGTAGGAGGGGGCGGGGACAGAACACCCCCACCCTCGTAGACCCACCCGTAGGAATTCTCCAAGAGCGGGCGGGCGGGGATGAGGTCAGCGACTGTGGCCACGGGTTTCCCCCTGACCCGCTCCGCAGGCACAAAGGGAAGGGACAGAATCCAAGCCCAGGCTCTGTGCCTTGGGAGGGTGGAAGGCGGGCACAATGGCAGGCCCGGCGCGCTACGGCGACGCTGTCTGCGCCCCCAACGCAGGCGTTATATCACAATGAGCCGGCTCAGCCCGGCGACCCTCCTCAGGCAGGGCCGAGCTCCCCACCTCCCAGGCCCTGGAATGACGAGCCCGTGGAGTCCCTCAGGGATCGGCGACAGGCAGAGACCCAGGGCCCAGGACGTGGCCCCCCGCCCCGGACCGACCGGGAGGAGTGACAGCGAGCCGGACCCTCCAAGGACCAGGATGGGGATTCCAGCGTCGGAACCCCGTAAGGACCAGGAAGAGTGACAGCGGCCCGGGATTCCCCCCACCCCAACCCCCGCCGCCGCCACGGAGCGGGATGGGGCCCTGGGGTCCGCGGGCGGCTCCCCTTCCCGGGCCCAGCTTCCACCTCAGCGCCGAAACCCCACAGGGGCCGAAAGACATTTTCCTGCGGTTCCCAAATTTCTTCGCCGGCCTCGGGGTGGGGGGACACCCGAGGTCCGGCCCAGGGACCCAGTCCCCACCGCGGCTGGGGGTCGCGCCGCAGCCCCGGCTCCCCAGCCCCCGGCGTACCTGGATGCGCGGAGGCCAGAGGCGGCTGCAGCGGGGACGGCGGGCGGGGGTGGGAGCACTGAGAGGCGGCCGGCCGCGATTGGTCCTCAGCCGCGAGAGGCCGCCCCCCTTGGCGCCGCCCCCGCCCCGCATCCACGCCCCCGAAGACCCGCTGCTTGGGACCGCTCCTCCGCGCCAAGGCCGCCCCCGCCGGCACCCAGCACCCTCCCTGCCTTGAGCCACCGCTTCGCACCGGCACCACTACAGGACAACCCACCCCCACCGCGATCCTCTCCGCCCAGCACCTCCTCCCTCACTACACCGTGCTGACACCGCCCCCCAGACCCCTACCCCACCACCTGCCCTGCGGACCCCCTGCAGCAGACTCCACACACACGCTGGCCCTGCCCCTGCAGACATCTCTCTACTGCGCCCCGCAAGAACACTCCTAGAG